CCTCTCTGGTGATGGTTTTAAATTAGGCTGCTGTGCTTTGTACTTAAATGGTGCAGGAGCTCTGCAGAGTTCAGCTGAGGGTGACTGAGTCTGTGCAATTCCTGAATTGGCCTGGGAATGCATGCTTGAAGATGCCTTGGGTCTGAGCTTTCTCAGATACAAAGAAAACTGCTCTCCTTACTTTCTAGTAATAGAAAAGTAACTTTTTAGCCAGAGACCAATGCAAAAACTATAAAACCACAAATTGAGTTAATTTTACACTTAAGAAATCCAAGGCCAGAAGGGATCAGTTAATATAATTACTTGTATGTTGTTGTTTTACTAAGTAGTTTTTGTTTGTAACCAAAGCAACTTGTATTTGCTTCTGGAAATATATTCTGTCTCACTTGACATTAAAAGAAAGGAAATTCATTACTTCTTCTGGTGTCTAATTTCAATCCTTTTCCTTCTCATGTCAGACAATCTGGACCTACTGTCTAGGTCTTGGCACTTAAGGCTCTACTTTATTGGATTAAAAGACTTCTTGAAGCCATGATTCCTCAGCTGGTAAGTGAGCTATAGAACATCTGTGTAATGCAACATAGGCAGTGTAACTAATCAAATCACCCTCACTCGTCATCTTGTTTAACTAAATTAACTCAAGGCCTCATGCTCTGAGATGTATTTTTGTGTCTGAATGTTTTACGAACCAGCTTGGATATTTTTTTTAACCTCCTTACAATGCAGTGCAATGAATTTCACTTGCTGAAAACTATAATGAAATGCTAATGTTGTGTAGGGAGCTAAAATCGCCTGGGAGGAGAGAGACTGTTTTTCCCCTTTGCTTTTCCTTTAGCTTAGCTCATGCAGAAGCCCGAGAGGCCCAAAGTGGACAATGTAGAGACACTGTTCATTCAGATGATTGTGAACGTGGGAATTTGCTAGAGGATGCAACTTGGAACTGGGCATCTCATGCAGAAAGAAAAAGAAATCTCTTAGGAGGCAGAGGAAGGGCAGGCCTCTGGTTAAGACAGCTGGATTAGTTTGTGAATCCCTGCTTTTTCCATATGACCTTGGAACCATTGTGCTCCTCTGTGGATCAAGATGATTTTTCCCTCCTGTCCTGGATTGAAAGGTAAGTGTGTGTTCTATTCCCATCTGTCAGAGCTGGGCAGTTCTCTGCTGCTCACTGGGCAGTGTTCTTTATCCCTTCCACAGCCAATCCTCCCTCCAGCAGATCTCTGCTGTTCATGGCCACTGAGTGTCCCTGCAGGGCTGATGAAATTCCATCATCCCATGGGGAGATGCTCCGCCCAGGGCAGGAGCCAGGCATTCCTACCTGGATACAATCTGAGCCTGGAACAGCACAGCAGCCTTTGCCCACTGCATTCCCAGAGGAGCAGCTTTCTCCTGCCCTGCATTCCCAGAGGGAGAGCAGGCCCATCTCCAGCAGCCCTGGAGCTCCAGAGGAAAACTGCAGCCTTGTGCAGGATCCCTGCTCCAGCAGAACCACAGCTGGCACTGCAGGAGGGCTGAGCCCCCATGGGATGGGACTGTGCCACCACCCTGACACACAGGGGCCAGGGCATGTTCTGACTCTGGCAGTGTTGGGTTTTGTATTACTGCATTGGGTTTTGGGTTTTTAAAATTTTCTTACCTAGTAAAGAACTGTTATTCCTGCTCCTCTATCTTTGCCTGAGAGCCCCTTAATTTCAAAATTATAATAATTCGTAGGGAGGGGGTTTACATTTTCCATTTCAGGGGAGGCTCCTGCCTTCCTTAGCAGACACCTGTCTGTTCAGACTAAGATAACTCCCAGTCCTATCCACACTGCCTTGTGTGTATCAGGTTAAGCAGGGATGGCCCAGACCATGGCCTAGGCACACCTGACAGGAGATGTGCTGCTTGGCCCAGCTGTTTTCATCTCCAGAGAAAAGAACAAGTGGCTTGGACAGAAGTTTGGGAGCGCTCCAGCAGCTGGACACAGATCTGTAAAACCTGTGTGTGTGTGCAGGGTGGGGAGCAGTCAGGACTGGAGAGCTGCTGCTGTGAGCGTGTGTACAGAGCTGCGCTTGGACAAGGGGCAAAAAACTGGGAAATCCTGAAACTGGGCTCCAGCAGCTGGAGCTGCCAAGTGTGGATGGCCCCTTGGGGCTGTGAGGCTGTTATCTGAGCAGAGTTTACCATAATGTGGCAAGGCTCTTGGTGCCAGGATTCAGCAACACTCACTCCATCACTTCTCAGAGGAAAGAATCCTCCTTTTTTTGAGACATTTTAATATTGTTCTGCTAACAGCAGCATCTTGGATGGTTTAAAATGTAAGCTGTGTTACAGACAGGAACCAAGTGCCTGCTTAGCAGAGATCTCCTGTGTGATGTCTGTGCACCCCCTGGACCTGCTGCCGAGGCCTGGGCTGGTTTTATTCTTCTGTGCCTTTAACTGGAATGGAGACTGAAACATTTATTTGGAGAGGGAGACTGCAGAGAGCTGCCGGATACTCGCCAGTGGGAGATGAAAGACGATGCAAGTTGATTGGTGTGATTTAAGAGCTTGATCTTGCCTCCTGGCCAGAGGCTCTGATAAAAGACCTGGGACATGTTGCCAAGAGGTTGGGAAGAGGTTTGAACTCCAAGTCCTCCCAGATGACCTGATCTAACAAGGAGCATTTTTCCCCTGTAACAGGTGTGACTGACATGCAAAGAGAGGGGAAAACGAGCCCTTCTTTCCATTATTCTCCACCTGAATATCAAATGAGAGGAGACCTGTTAGTGTGCTGCCTCTCTCTCCTGTTCCAAGGCAGTGCACTGTCAGATCAGATGGTCTGTTTGTATTACTTTGGAATGAAAAAGAGTAAATGCAGTTTCTATAAAGAAGGGCTTGAAAAGGCTTCCCTGGTTTTTCATCAGAGCTGTTAGAAACCTTCCTTCCCCACACTGCCCCTTCCCCAGTCTCACCCCCAAAATCCTCACCTCTTCCTCCCTTTGTCATGCAAGTGTCAGATTTGACACCTTTGCAGTAAGGTACAGAAATGCAAATGGACAATTCCAGCAACACCTAATCAGAGGATGTAAACTTTCTGTGAACCTAATTTGTGGATTAAAAAAAAAAAAAAAAAAAAAAAAAAAAAAAGCCTTATTGCTACCACATTTCTAAAGTGCTTTTGACGCTATTGAGAAGCTCTTCATAGTGCTGCTCTGACCTGGCTTTTCTTTTCAGCCAGTACAGCACAGGTAAGTGCTCGGGGGAAAGGGCTGGAACCCCTCTGCTCCTCCCAACCACTCCAGCTCAGGGAGAGCAGCTGTCCAGGTGGCCTCAAGCCCTGCTGCCTGCTCTTCCTACAGCAGAGGCCACGGGATGCGCCCGGGAAGGCTCCCCTGGCTCTGAGAAGGGCAGCAGCACAAGCAGGAGTGGGAAAGGCAGCAGCTCCCTGCCTTGGCTCCCACTCTCCAAGGGCAGTACAGGGAAGCTGAGCACATCTGCAGGGCTGCTGGGCAGGGATGACTCTGCTTCGAGCCCCCAGCCCCTGCTGAACCAAAGCTGGCACTTGTGTGTTGACTCTGGGCTGTGTTTCTGCCACCAAAGTGTCAGGATTTGCACTTGCTTTCGCGGGAGCATTACAGAGAGCCCTAACAGAGAATCTTCAGGCCATGGAGATGAAGCCAAGCCAAGCTGCCTCTGGTGCTCCTGCAGCAGTGGAGAGGCTGCCTGGGCCAGGATCAGTCCTGCATGTCACTGCTGAAGCCACTGAGCTCGGGCAGGGTCTGAGTGCTGCTGTCACGTTCAGGAGCCGGGCTGTTCCAGCCACTGGACGTGAGTCTCAGGCCGAACAGGGTCACACCACGGTGAGGGGCCGTGTGTGAGCCGCCCTTGGAGCGACAGGCAGCTCTGAGCCAAGAGGGGAGAGTGATGTATCAAGCAAGATGTGAGACCTGAGGGAAACGATAAAAATAAACCTGGACTTGGGCTGGGGCTAGAGAGGCGCAGCCTCGGGCCCAGAGGTCATCAGGGGTGTGGGGTGTTAGCTTTAGTGCAAGTGGCCCAGGCCCCATTTACACTTCAAACCCCAACCTCCCTCCCTAAAGCAGAAAGGGCACTACAGCAGGGCTCTCACCTCCTCTGGCTCAGCTGGGCTTTGCCCCTCTCCTCCAGCCCAGAGGGAATTGAGCACAACAGGGGATGAGAAGGACCAGACATTGTGAAGGACAGCTCTGAACAAGAGCACCCACCTCAGGTAAAGAAAACGACACAGGAAAGGCCTTGCCAGTGCTCCAGTTTCTATTTTTATTATTCTGTGTGGTTATTAACAAAGGTACATGTCTAGTCCCTTGGTCGTTGGGCTGCTTCCTTTCTTGCTTGTTCTATGTTTGGGAACTTCCACGTATTAAGACACTTTACAATCCTTTTTTTCCTCTTCACAATGACAGCTCTCTGAAGGGTATTTTATCACAGCAAAAATAACCTGGCATCTCCCCAAAGCAAGAACCAGGATAAGAATGCTGAGGGTCCCCCTCTGAGCCCCCAGAAACATTAAAGAACACCTTCCAAATCCACTGCACTCTCCATTCAATTGAGTCTTTTTTTGCTCTCCACCAACAAAAAAAACCACCCAAAATGCAACCCGCCCTCCTGTGAAGTTATGCCCCAGGACAGGATTTGCCTAGCACTTCTGAAGTTGGGCTGTGCATGTGAGAGCAACGCCTTCAGATGGCAGATCAAGTAGAGCAGGCTTGAGACTGGCATCCAGACCAACCAGCCCCAAACTCTGTGGCCTAGGACCAACCTCAGCCAGCCTGACCTTGCTCATCCAATAAACTTAAGTGTCAACTAGAATTAAACAAAAGAAATATTTGAATTGCAATAGCTAAGTTAACAACGCTTAGCACAAGAATTAAGTGCTTAATTACCAGCATTGTTTCCATGATATACACACATTGGTGTTAAGAGCCAACAAGAGGGAGCTGTATTTTTAATGTTCTTAAAGCGGTTAGAAACACACACGTTACACAATATATGCCACGTTGTGAATTCAGCGGTTTTTTATTAAAGATTAAAAATAAAACACATTTGACACCCTAATATACATAAAGTCACAATAAACTCAAATGTGCTAAAAGCAAAATGTGCATAAAGACACTCATTTCTAAAAGGCACCCTGCCACCAACATCTTTTTAAAATGTCTAATTCCACCAGGTTTCTAGTTTTCTCTCCCTTCCCTAAAGGTGAGACTTTAGACTGCTATCAGGTATAGACACCTTTCAGGGGTCTGTGCTATCACTAGAACACTTGAAACCGTGCATGCAGACTTAGCTCCAGCTTCTCCTGGAACGAACTATCGTGATTCAAAACGCACAAGGGCTTTTTCTCAAAAGGTAGCGGTGTTTGGGCCGCTTCTAAGGGCCAAGAAGAAAGAGACAGGGTTATAAAGTAACTGCTTTTTCTCCACCAGAGAGCTTTGCTACTACAAATCACTTCCCTCCTCCCCCCCATCCTCTCGTAAGAGCAACCCCCAAAGTTACAAAACGCCACACACGCACAGGGATGAAATGTTAACGCGTTCGCTATTAGGCTGTCAGGGGGTGACAGCGTCAGTGCCCGAGTCCGCAGTCACAGCGCTGCACAGACACTCACAGGCAGACACACAGACACACAGACGTTCACAGGCAGACACACAGACGTTCACAGGCAGACGCTCACACACACAGACGCTCACCACACGCGTGTGCGGGGCACCCTGCCCTCCGCACAGGCAGGTCTGCGCTGACTCCGCTGTTACCAGGGTCTCCACATGGATTTGGGCGAGCCGGGCGAGGGCCGGCCCTGCGTCTGGGACGCGTCCAGTCCGTCCGTGGGGGTCTGGCCCGGCCCGGCCTCCGCCTCGTCCGAGTCGGAGCAGGTCTCTTCGCTGGGGGAGGGCGAGAGAGCCGGGGCGGGCAGGGCCGGGCCCGGGCGGGCTCCGGCCGGCAGGGCCAGCGCCTCGCCGGCGGGCCAGGGGCCGAGGGCCGGCTCCCCCACAATGTCCGTGACCGAGTCCGGGCAGCCGCCCTCGCTGAGGGGCATGGACTCCAGCAGGTGGTTGAGCAGCTCAGCGGCCGTGGTGGCGTCGATGCCGGGGCAGCTGGAGACGAAGGTGTGCACCTCGTGCATGCACTGGATGTACCCGGCGGCGAAGCGCTCGCTGGCCTCCAGGAGCCGCCGCCCGCCCCCTGCGTCGCGGGGGACAGAGAGGGGCGCGGGTGAGGCGCGGGCCGGGCCGGGCGCCCCCCCGCCGCTCACCCTCCGGTCGCCGCGGGGCCCCGCGCAGCCCTCGCCGTGCGGCGGGCGGTCCCGGCCCGGCGCCATTGCCGCGCCGCTCCACCGCTCCCTCCGCTCCCGCCCCGGGCCGCCCTTTTTATACCCCGTGATTTGCATGTCAATGAGCCCATTGGCCGCGCCACGCGGGCAGCGCCGAGCGTTGGCCGAACGGGCCAATGGCGACCGCGCGCTTTGTCTGCGGCGGGGCGGGGCGGGCGGAGCGGCCCCGGCGCTGGGCCCGGCCCCGGAGCGGGAGCGTGCCGGGCCGGGCCGTGCCTTGCCGGGCCGTGCCCCCGCCGGCAGTGTGCGGCTCCGCGGGGCAGCTGCGCCGTCTCTCAGCCCCAGTGACCCCAAGCCCCAGCGCCCGTTACGGGCTCAGAGCCTCAGAATACCCGTGTGTGCGGCTGGGGTGTTGGTGGAACGGAGGGCACAGTGGGGCCGGCCAGCTGCCGGCGGGGCGTCAGCACCGACCTGGGCCTGCAGGAGTCATTGTGAGCCGTGACCGGGAAGCCGCGGGGCTAAGCACGCACAGCTGGCCACGGAGCCGCTCTTGTCCTGCCCCGTGCCAGCGGATGGGGCGGCTCTCGGGCCAGGGTGCGGGTCCAGCCCGGCAGGACGCGCTCGCTGTGGCCGTGGCTTGCGGGCACCGCGGCTGCTCGGCGGTGCAGCGCATCCCCGGCCACGGGCAGCTGGGCCCGGAGAGCTCGGTGCCGGCCCCGGCGCGTCCGCCTCCCTGGCTGAAAGAGCCGGCAGCTTTGTGCGGGTAACTTGATGCTGATGACAGTCGGCAGCTGCAGTTCCCCCGTCAGACCGAGGCAAATAAAAGCATTAGGGCTCGTCCCCGAGGAGAGCGACAGGTGTTCGCTCCCGCTCCTTTGTTTCCCTGCTTTTATTCTCCTCGCTAATGCATGTCATATTTTTGCCGCCCGAGGAAACGGGAGACGTGTTCCCCGCTCGAACCGGCGCGGAGCCGCTCGCTCGCCTCCCTCCGTGTCCGGCAGAGCTCCCCTCCTGCTCCGGCTCCGTCCCGGTTTGTCTCGCCACGGAAAGCCCTTTGGCCTCGGTGGTGCTGAGGTTTTCCTTGCGGAGAGGTCTGGCGTGAGCCACACCTGGACCGGTGCCGGTCCCGTGTGGCCCAGGGTACCGGAACGAGCTCCGGGAAGGGCCGGGCTGGCCCTTACGGTTGGCAGCCCCGCTGTTGCTTAACGCTGCTGTTCACCTTCCAAGGGCCGTGTAAAGCTCCGTGCCAATCCATGTGCGACAGGAGAGCAGGCTGGGATGGAGAGGCTCGGCACTGCCTGCCCAAGGGCAGCACGGAGTGCCGGCGGCTAAGGCCAGTCCGTGGGGTATCCTGGCTGGAGACCTCAGCTCAGGCCACTCTTCGCTTTGTGTCGCAGTGGACAGGAGGTGTTATTTTCAGAAAGGTGTTTCTGGTGTGTTTTTTCCTTTTATGTTGAAGCATCAATGCTTGGGTTTTGTCAGTCTGTTCAGGTGGTGACAAGTTTCCCTGCAGAAGGCAGGGGCAGAGTGGGATGTACTGGGGGCTGGATGTCTAAATCTGTCCTTCTGCTTCTGATGCACTGAATTCTCCGTGTGACACAATGTGGCAAGCTGCTCATTCTTTTCAATGATATAATTAATGCTGGCTAAGCAGAAATGCTGTGGACCAGGCCAGATACAGAACATTTTTGTATTTAAGTAGAGACACCTTTTGTATTTAAGTAGAGACACCAGTCACCATTCTCTGGCTGATTTGTACTTAGCCTACCTAAATGGCAGGGGAAAACCACAATTGTATGCATGCAAACTGCAGCAAAGTAACGGGTGCAATTTTGAAGGACCATCTTCATTCTGAAGCAAAACTAGGCACCTAAGGTCATCAGAGGTGTATAAAAACACACAAACGCACACACACATTTGGGAAATGTGCAGTAACACACAATGTATGTAATTACTGGTAAAATATGAACTCCAAACCTTTGTGAGCTTGTTTTCTCTTCAGAGAAAGCTCAGCTTTTCCTAGAATGGGGGTGGGGGGGAAATGGGTGCGCCTGGCTGCTGGCAGGGTTAAAACCAAACCACACAAATATTCATGTATTGGCTGCTCAAACAGTGGGGTTAACACTGCTGTAAAGCGTGTGCAGTCCCCAAACCTGCCAGGCCTCTTCACTGCAGGTGTTGTACCAGCTGTGTGTCAGAGCTAACTTGTGTTCAAGGTGCTGCTTTGTTAATGCAGGGAAATGAGACATGAAGGAGCTCCCGAATTCACCCCAGCTGAGGTTCAGATGTGTCAGGACTTGGGTGGTGAGGCTCTGGTGGCTCAGAGACACCAGTTACCATTCTCTGTCTGGCTGATGTGTACTTAGCCTACCTAAATGGCAGGGGAAAACCACAATTGTATGCATGCAAACTGCAGCAAAGTAACGGGTGCAATTTTGAAGGACCATCTTCATTCTGAAGCAAAACTAGGCACCTAAGGTCATCAGAGGTGTATAAAAACACACAAACGCACACACACATTTGGGAAATGTGCAGTAACACACAATGTATGTAATTACTGGTAAAATATGAACTCCAAACCTTTGTGAGCTTGTTTTCTCTTCAGAGAAAGCTCAGCTTTTCCTAGAATGGGGGTGGGGGGGAAATGGGTGCGCCTGGCTGCTGGCAGGGTTAAAACCAAACCACACAAATATTCATGTATTGGCTGCTCAAACAGTGGGGTTAACACTGCTGTAAAGCGTGTGCAGTCCCCAAACCTGCCAGGCCTCTTCACTGCAGGTGTTTGTACCAGCTGTGTGTCAGAGCTAACTTGTGTTCAAGGTGCTGCTTTGTTAATGCAGGGAAATGAGACATGAAGGAGCTCCCGAATTCACCCCAGCTGAGGTTCAGATGTGTCAGGACTTGGGTGGTGAGGCTCTGGTGGCTGCTGAACAGCAATGATCTCTCAGAAGCCTCAGTGTGAGTTCTTGAGCACTGAGGAGCTGGAGGCACAAGGTGAGCACTTCAGGATGCACGAGGAGACTTGAGCAGCAAATCTTGGCTAAGAACGGCCAGAGAGAGCTGGCCATGGCTGGAACATCCTGCTTCTGTTCTGACTGGGCAGGTGCTGATGGCAAGGCATTGTACATATTTCTGGCTCTTGTTTTGCAGCATGTCTTTTTGTATTTTCTTTGAAAAGCTGCAGGTCAAATGAGTTGACAAATGCTGGAGCTGTTTGTGCAGGGCATTAAAAATGTATGTGCCATAAATATCAGGGCATCACTAGAGCTGCCATTCTGGAGGAGGGAGTCACTGCAGGCTATCTCCTCTAGCCCATAGGGACAATGTGACATTTTTGTGCTACTTTAAACAAGTTCCATCGCATCAGGTGAAGCGAATCATGGTAACCTCATGAATTTTAATGGAAATGTCAACTGCAATCTAGTAAAAGAAAACATTCCTTAGTTACCTTGTCCAATACCTCAGTGTTTGTCCATGCGTGGTGGTTCCTGAAGATTTCACTGAACCCATCTACTCATCTATATTTCATCCAGGTGAAGCCCATGCTGCTCCCTGCTGAGGGGATGTGTACAGGCACTGCTTCCTCCTGCACGAAGGATGAGAGTTTAATCTTTGCTAGACTAGGGAGCTCTGTCCTGCCAGAGACAGGCTCCTACACAAGCTGTAAATGGCAGTTTAGCCAAGGAGCAGTGTTTTAGCAGAGATAATGGCATCCTTGCTGTATGTGTTCTCCTGCAGGCCTGTGTGTAGAGCAGTATAGCACAGCCTATAAAACAGGTTTTAATTCTTTCTAGATGATGCATGAGCACTAATGCAGCTGTGGTGACAGTGGCAAAGGCAACTGTGGGAGGCCATCCTGCAGCCTCAGCTATGTGCCTTGTGTTTTGGAGGCCCAGGTAAGTGGCAAATTCTTATTTCTGACACGTCATGGCCTCACACGCTTCTGTGTGAGTTGGCAGGTGCATTTGGAAGGTCTCTGGCTCCCAGAAGAGCATTCACAGAGACATAATGAAGCTCAAAACATTTTTGAGTACTCTACAGGCAAGTGTGCTGCCATGCATGGCCTTGGACTGGAGTCAGGAGGTGACCCAGGCTCAGCATGGACAATACAATGAGGGCACGGGATAAAGACATGATGAGCATGCACAAGGTCCATTGGAAATGCTTGAGTAGTTTCTTTCATAAATGGTATAACATCTGTTGTCACTGGAGGCACAAGTTCCTGTCAAAAAGACACGTCATCCTTATAAATATTAATGGTGCATATAAATGGTGGTGGGTGTGAGCTGTGGATGCGAGGTTAATGGGTGAGCTGCTCCTTAGGCATCGGTTGGCTGCCATCAGACTTATTTCTGCACTAACAAAAACAAACTGTTTGGCTGGCAGAGTAAGCAAAAAGCTTTCTTCCCCCTCCTCCTCTCCCTGGGGTCCAGTCACAAATGAAATGTGTACTGTAATTAGTCTCTTGCCTTGTCACTGGTGAAGATTAGTCCTGCTTGCAGAGCCGAGGAGCAGAGGAGTGAGGCTGGAGCTGGAAGAGCTGAGGCTGTAGGTGATAAATGGAGCAAATGAGGAAGGCTGTTGGGGGAAGGCTGCAGCAATCCCCATCAGCTTGATCCTAGCTGCCCTCAGTGCCATTGATTTCTCTGCTGTTAATAGCTGATGTTTAAGAGGAAAAGAGGGTTGAATATCAGCACTGAGCTGCTCTTGGACTCCAGTCTGTTTGTTACTGCAAATTGTGTTTGCTGCCTTGAGCAGTGAGTTCCTGCTGCCCTTTTCAAAAACCATAAGGCTTTTCCTATCCTTATTTATTTATCAGCAGACTTGGCAGCAGTGCTAGTGTTCATCAGCTGGGGCACAGAGGAACAGTTCATGCTAGCCAAAACACTAATGAGTAGCATTCAAAAGGGTCTTATGTCCATTCACAGAAGAGACCCAAGACTGTGTTTGTTCCTGTGAAAGCTGGGGGTCCCCTTTGCATGAGAAGATGGGCCCAGCCTTCTGTCAGAGGTACTTTGACTTTCTGCCATTTCAGAGGTGGTGATTTC